AATGAATGCGGCAGCGAGGCTCATCTTCCTGTCCGCCCGCACCTCCCATGCTTCACCCTTCTGTCAGTCCCTACATTGGCTTCCTATAAAATATAGAGCTCAATTTAAAATACTGGTTCTTGCTTTCAAATTGCTACATAATGCTGCTCCCACCTATCTATCCTCCCTTATACAAAAGTATGTCCCGTCTAGGCCCTTACGATCTGCTGAAGACTTACGTCTATCTTCTGTCAATACTCCTACCTTTGATGCTCGCCTTCAAGATTTCTCGAGGGCTGCACCGTTCCTGTGGAACTCGCTTCCCTCCTCCGTTAGATGTTCACCCAGTCTCCACTCCTTCAAAAAATCGTTAAAAACTCACTTCTTCATAAAAGCGTATCAATTAAACTGTTAATACCTCCCGATTGATTCCTCTTCCGCAACTGTCACTAGTCTAATACTATCCTTACATTTTTTGTCTTTTTCCCCCACTCCCTCTAGCATCTATATAAATAACATAATAATAATAATAATAATAATAATAACAAAAATATTAATTGAGGCAGTGAGCTAGACCTTTATCTTCTTCTACATATCTTCCTTCTTTTGTTTTTTTTATCTAACTAATCCTTGTTTTACTTTCCTTTTTTCATTTATGTATCTAAAAAATATCTGATACCAAATCTCCATTTGTTAACACTAAATCTAGTATGGCCTCCTTACTAGTTGGCTCCTCAACGACTTGTTTTAGAGACAATCTCAGTAGGGACTTTAGAATATGTGTGCTCCTGGCACAAGCAGCTATGTTGGTTTTCCAATTCATATCAGAAAGATTAAAGTCACCCATGATGATAACTTCCCCCTTCATTGTCTTTTTAGCTATTTCCTCAACTAGTAGATTATTTAACTCTTCTATTTGTCCTGGGGGCCTACAAATCACACCTACATGAGTTACTGTGTGATTACCAAATTCTAACGTAACCCAGACGGACTCTGTGTTTGCCTCACCAACTTTTATTAGGCTAGATTTTATGCTATCCTTCACATACAGGGCCACCCCTCCCCCTTTCTTGCCTTCCCTGTCTTTTCTATATAAAGAGTACCCTGGTATTGCTATGTCCCAGTCATTTTTCTCATTGTACCATGACTCAGTAACAGCGACTAAATCGACATTATCAGTTGCCATTATTGCCACAAGGTCATGGAGTTCATACTACAAGTTCATACTACTCTTAGGGTTGCCAGGTATTTCTCATGTATTTCTTATGGTTGCCAGGTATTTCTCAGAAGTATTTCTCAGGTATTTGAGGCTGCCTAGCCGGTGCAGATATTGTAGTAATACCAGCAATACAAATGTCTGTCTCAGTATAAACAGAGATTATTCTGCAATACTAGCGCCAGCCAGCTGTTTGTGTGGAGAGAGGCAGAGATAAGAAGTTACAGCATCTCCCACCCTGCCTCTCTCTACACACTGATCCGCGAGGGAGCAGCTGTGCACAGAGAGTCCCTACAGCAGCTCCGAGCCTGCAAGACATGGGGACGGTGAGAGACTTGGGGACACTGAGACATTGGGACACTGGGGAACATGGGGACCCTGAGACACTAGGGACACAGTGGCCCCATGTCTCCCAGTGGCCACTAGTCTCTCAGTGTCCCCATGTCTCCCAGCTAGTGTCTCAGTGTCCCCATGTCTCTCAGTGTCCCTGGTGTCTCTCAGTGTCCCTAATCTCCCAGAGTCTCCTAGTATCTCTCAGTGTCCCAGTGTCTCTAAGTGTCCTCTATTGTCCTAGTGACATCGGGACACTTTGAGACATGGGGACACAGACTCTAAGGGACACATGGGGATACAAATACTAGGGGACACCGGGTGACACGGGGACACTGAGACACTAGGGGACACTGAGAGACATGGGGACACTGAGAGACACAGGGAGACATGGGGCACTCCCAGGGGTGTTATATATTTCTGAATGTGCAATGTATTTACCTGGGGCATTTTGGCACTTTTACCGGGTTATTTACTAAAGTGAGAATTCCAAGTGAATTTCAAATGGTAGTTCAGTTCAGCTGTTTTGCTCTTAATGCGGCACGGTCATGCCGAACTTACCTTTCCTCAATCTCTTCCTCTTCTCCCCCTCTCCCAGGATCTGTTCTTCTTTTCTTCCTGTCTTCTTTAGTTTTCTTTAAAAACATAAGACAAAGTAGGGACTCTTTGCCTTATGGAGGTTTCCTCCGCTTCACCAGCTTTGACCAGGAGGAGCAAAGGGTGTTTCATTTCCGCTGGTCAGAGCAATTTTCCCACAATTCTTACCTTTCCTCTGTGATCTCGCGATGCTTCCTGTCATTTTAGACGAAAATGCCGAATTGCATTCTAACTGAATGAGAACAGTATGTTAGTTTCTTTTAGAATTTGGCACTTTGTTCGTATCGGAATTTCATTTGAATGAATGAAACTCCGAATCAATTTGTGCTACTGCTGCATCTTGCAGCCACTTAGTAGATAACTCCCTAATTCCCACGGTATTAGGGAGTTATCTACCAAAAGGCTGAAAGACCTAAATTGGTCTTTCAGCCACATTTACTAATACTAAGTAAAGATTACTTAGTATTAGTAAATGATCTGCCCCTACTCGCTATACTGCGAGTAGGGGTATGTCTGGTAAGCAGTGAGCAGCCTGCTAAAAAAAACAAAAAAAAAAAACCTATTGCCCCCACCCCTGTGCGACGGGTTGTTGTGCCTAATCATTAAATTCATGAAGCACCAATATCAAAAAAGTAATAATCAATTACCTAATAAGGTTTATAGCGATATTGGCGGCACACAACCCAGTTCGGATAGAGTACATTGAGCTATAGGAAAGAGAAATCACACAGAGACCAAGTTGCAGATAAGAATTCACACCACACTTTATTGTCCACAAGTGGACCCAATACAGAGTAAGGTTAACTCTCCTTAAGTAGTTGCATGCATTCACTTCAAAACAGCTAAGTATCTAGATATATCAGCTTAAGTATACATCACCGCTAGAGGGGCTTGTGTCCTCTGCACTTGACTGGGGAGAACTCTGGCAGTCGGCTTGGAGGGACCCTCTCTGGGAACAGCAGAGACCAGCAACACGCATCCGCATTACAGGTGGGTAGTTCTCCAAGTGAGTGCCAAGTTTCTCCGTCTTTTATACTTTTTATCAAGTTTGTAACTTTTCCAAGATTTCTTATCAGTGCAGCCCAGCATGTATCTTGTCATGCGCATTAAGTAATCAGTATGGTTGATCATCCCAGTCGTGACCACCCAAGGCTCATGCCAGACACGTGCGGTATCTTATTCTATCTATGTCCCTACTCTTATCTTTTTACACATTCGTTGGCACCAATTCCCTCTTTTCAGCACGTGGGCCTTTTTGGATATTGGCCAGACATGCTATGGAATATTCTAGGCAATGTTGAATTTCTTAGTGCGACACAGGTCAAGTGTTTTATGCAATGTCATCGTAGCTGAATTTCCTAGTGCGATACAGGTTGAATTTCTTAGTGTGACACAGTTTAAGCCAAGTGCCATCTTAACTATCTATAATAGATTAATTTGCTCATTAGTGATCAATCAATCATTCTTAATTAGTTAATTGGATTTTATCACAATTATCACATTCTATCCCTTGATCACTAAGTGAGCAAAACCTCACACATTTACCCATGCCATTCAGGTTATCAGCAGGGGGCAAGCCCATTTTCCCACTGATCCCCATATCGTTCCATTCACACCTGGAACCAATTCACGCAATAAAGCTCTTCGAGTCGAGGGTCACCCGTAGGACATGCCTCTTCCCGCTTAACATCTCTAATCTTTTTTTTTTCTTTTTTTTTTTTTCATATTTCTTTTTATTGGTTTTAGTAGTACTCCAGTGCATGGTACCGTGATATAATAATAAATTTACAGTATTGGTACAAATACAGTGATAGAATAATACATAGTAAAATGATACTATAACAATATTACAATGAAAATTATATCAATACAATGCCAACATTAATATTAATACAATACTAACAGTAATACTAATACAATACAATACAATACAATACACCATCGCTGACGTAGCAGCTCATCGATCAAATATGGCCTCATCGGCTTATACACATAAGTACATATAACATGATAATACGTGTAGTGACGCTAACATCAACAACAACGTATGAGCATCACCAGATTTGTTTTTCATCGATGTTATGTTATATCTCCGTTTGTGTGACAGCTCGTTTGAGGTGTTTGTTTTTGACTTAGAGCTATAGACATTTGTGCTAACTGTTGTTGATGTCCGCTTTAGCTCAATTCTCTATCTCGTCATGCAACCGTGTACAAAAGGAAGAAAAAAGGGTTAAGGGAAGGGTGACATTCAACAGTAACTCTACTGATATAGCCATGTAACCTGAAATTTCCCTGTTTGGTACTGCTATCGGACCTTGCGGTGTGTGGTTAGTGGCGAGGTTTGTGGCATGTAGGATGTAGTATAAGTATTATAACTAGTATAACTAGTATAACTGGGATGACCCTCCTATTTATTTAACATCTCTAATCTTAAGGGCATCTAATCTATCTATAAAAAACATTTGTCACTCTTCTAATTATATCCTGGCATTTGTTTTACATGTAGCTTCTCTTTGAATGCAGCAAATGGTAAGTTTGTAGCATAGGTAAACACAAAGTATAATAAAAACACACCACACAATTCCCTTTAAAGGACCACTATAGTGCCAGGAAAACATACTCGTTTTCCTGGCACTATAGTGCCCTGAGGGTGCCCCCACCCTCAGGGACCCCCTCCCACCCGGCTCTGGAAGGGGGAAAGGGATAAAAACTTACCTTTTTCCAGTGCTGGGCGGGGAGCTCTCTGCCTCCTCTCCTCCTCCGTTACGCCCCGCCGGCTGAATGAGCACGCGCGGCAAGAGCTGCGCGCGCATTCAGCCAGTCTCATAGGAAAGCATTTACAATGCTTTCCTATGGACGCTGGCGTGCTCTCACTGTGAAAATCACAGTGAGAAGCACGCAAGCGCCTCTAGTGGCTGTCAATGAGACAGCCACTAGAGGATTATGGGGGAGGCTTAACCCATTAATAAACATAGCAGTTTCTCTGAAACTGCTATGTTTATTAAAAAATGGGTTAACCCTAGCTGGACCTGGCACCCAGACCACTTCATTAAGCTGAAGTGGTCTGGGTGGCTAGAGTGGTCTTTTAATATTTTCATCCCAAGTCCTCCTATCCATGTTCCTACACCAAATGTCCAGTAGTATTAGCTAGCCAGTGTTCCAAGTCGTCTGTGGTTAGTGGTTTTCTAAAGCGTTTTTGTATCTCTTCTAAATGATGAAGCTCATGCTTAACTTTCCCTGATTTATCTTCTATCCACACACAACATGCCTTGCCTCCTATTATTTTGCATACTCCTCCTTCTGCTGCAAGCAAGTAATCTAAGGCTATTCTGTTCTGCAAAGCTACCTGTCTAATCTGTTCTTGCTCATAATTAAGCAAACTGATAGCAAGTCCTGTGCTATTAAAGGCATCGTCAATAGTATCAATTAAAATATTTAAATTAGTTATCATCATTCCCACCCCCACCATTGGATAGAGAGAGACCCAAAACTGCATGTTTCTATCCATTTTAAATCCTGATAAATCGGTGCCTCGTCTTTGCCAACAATGATGGGTGTTTTCAGGTAAAGTTTTAGTAGGGTAAATGGCGGGCATCACCATTCGCAAGGTACAATCAATTTTCATTTTACATGGGAGTTTTTTATAAGCTCATCTCCCACAAAGCCAATAAAATCCTCTTGAAGGGATGGGGTGATTTATACAGCTTACATTATAACATTTAAATTTGAAATAAGTACTAAACACTCCTGTACCTACTATTTTATGCCATCATCGACTTATAGTCTCTGCCTCACCTTCTCCTAGGACATACTTCCATCTGCCCTCGGTTCTTTTCTCACCATTTTCCGTCCCATTAAAATAGTCAAAACTCCATCCTGTGTAAAAAGAGGATAATGCCACGGTATTTACATAACTGCTAGGTCGGACGTTCAGTTGGTAGCTACGGTCAGTGTAGTATTTTTGATAAACATTAATAGTCTCTACTTTTTCTGAGTCATCAGGGTATTCCCATTCCCCCATGCACAGTTTAACTGCACCTGGTCTCTCCCTAGTATCTTCACTTAAGAAGATCTTGGGGACCTCACTTGTGTCATTTCTTATTAGAAAGTCAAAACCAACATTATGTCTGATGATATACAACAAGTCTTTTTTCGTCAATACTTTAGGGAAATAGGGGTACCCTCTGTCATGAGCATGTGGCGTATGGCCACACACCCAACATGGTTTACATAAATCCAAGCTCTTATATACATTAGCTGCTGCCTTAATAAAGTGATTGTGTTCTTCCCAAGGCGAGAGGTGTCTGTCTGATTTAGGGGTGTCAGAACAAGTTGTCATGGATGTCCTTTGAATTTTTAAAAGTAAATACTAAAAGGTATCAGGGGTGCTGTTAGTGCAGCAGTAGGTTGCACACTATTCTCTATAATAGTGTACGTACGCTTTGTGCTTTGCTGATTTGTGTAACCTACCCAATATTGGGCAAGTTCTTCTGAAGTAATATTAGAGTCAATGTGTGTATATAGTATGCGGCAGCCAAAGAGTGTTGAAGATTCTAACGTTAACATATCAAATGATTCGTGCGGCAGCTTAATATAGTTCATCGCCTCAGTGTCATTGTGGCTAAAATAGCCTTCTCCATACAGGCTTGCCCTCATGTTTGGACAGTCATTGGTCAGGCAGGTTACTCATATCTCGATCTCTTTCCACTTCATCTCTGCGGAATCACTCTGGTCCCAACCTCCAATCTCGTTGTTGGTATCTGAACCGACCAAAGGGTGTAGAGTAAGTGCAGTCATCACAATAACAGCTGGACCAATGAGCTTTGCCTGTAAAGATACAACTCATCTTACGTTCTCAAATAACATTTGCCCAAAGGCACGTATTCCCATTTATCTTGTCCTGACTTGGAGAGTATCACAGTGTTGTCATTGCCTGTTGCAATAATGTCTGCTGGTTCTGGGGGACCTTTCTCAGTCCTCACCCAGAGTTTGGCCCCTGGATTTAGGTTAGTAGAGCCAAATCCCTTATCTCCTCTTACTGTTTGTAAGGTGGGGGCCGTTCGTTATGTACCTGTCCCTGGTAAATGGGGATGATAACCAATTGGGCTATTCTGTCCCCTTCTTGCACTAGCAAGTCTTGTGGTCCCTGATTTAACAAAAGGACCTTTATTTCTCCTTGGTAATCTGCGTCTATAACCCCTCCCATTACGTGTATCCCTTTGAGGGCGAGGCTAGACTTAGGTGCAATTATTCCAAAGTGTCCCGGGGGTATCTGTATTCTTATACCTGTGGGGAACATCTGAACTTGCCCTATTTGAAGTCTTTCTTCTTTTCTGGCTCGCAAGTCTATTCCTGCGGCCTCTGGGGTAGCCCTGTATGGGGCCAGAGCTCCCTCTTCTATTTCCCAATATGTGACGGTGTTGCTTGTTACATAAGGTTTAGCTTGTATATTGGGTGCAATCATTCTAGTGAGGGGAGTGTCATGGTCTGAGAGTGGCCTATTGTTCAAGATGTTTACAGCTGTAGACAAGTTATCTCTCCATTTGTGCATGGTCCCTTCACCAAGTTTTCTCAATTGTTGTTTCAATAACCCATTCATTCTTTCAATCAGACCAGCTGCTTGAGGATATTAGGGTATATGAAATATCCATTCAATATTGTTTTCATCACAAAAGTCTTGGACCAGTTTTCCTCTAAAGTGACTTCCATTGTCACTCTGAATTTGTAATGGAAGACCATAGTATTGTATTATGGTTTCCAGCATTTTAATAGTATTTATTTGGGTAGCCCTCTTGCAAGGGTGAACCAATAAATACCCTGAATATGTATCCACAGCCGTGCATACATATTGACAATTTTTACTCATAGGAATTGGACCTATGTAATCCACCTGCCATATTTGCCCTGGGGCTTTTCCTCTTTTTATTTGACCTCTAGCTTTGTGTGTCTGTCTATAGGCATATGTATAATCCAACTTCTTTTCTGCCGCTTATCTTTTGGAATCTTTGACAAGCAAGCTAGAAGGTCAGTAGGCATGTCAATTTCACTTTTTTCACATTCATCGTTACATTTGCCAGCTGAACGGGCCCATTCACTGGCAACCAATGCATATGGCTCATCTTCCCATCCGGGAATGATGGCATCATCACCCTGTTTCTTATTCTTTTTAAACATTGTGCAAAGTTCCTGTGGTTACTTCAGGGAAAATCTTTCACTCAAGCCTGCCCAGATGACTATTCTGGCTGCAGGCTTGATCGAGCCAACAATCTCACACTTTCAGAAACAGCCATTTCCTTCACTTCCTCAGTCAGAACTGGCTTCCAGCACCCGCTAAGGTGCGTAGGGGCACTTGTTAACTGACCAAGCACAATCACTCATTCGTGTCAGAATCACCCCAAACAATCTTGTAGTTTTGGTGATCTTATCCCAATACCTGGTATTGAGCTTGTTAAATTAGCAGCAATTCAGCCTCATCCAGGATGCTAGCCTGTTGAGGGTAACGCTCCCCAGAAGCGTTCTACACACCTTTAAGATGTATAGGGGCGTCTACCAACTAAGCACAACTGGTATTCTTCAATCAATCTTCAGAAGCACTCCTCAATCTTGTTAGATCGAGCATTCACTCACCAATCTTCCTCTTGCAACGTCATGCAAACATTTTCAAGTTTACACAATGTTCAAAGAAACTTTAGAAACCGTAGTGCTTGTTTTCTAAGCTTAGAATCTCTATAGCATATTTTACTGCAACGCACGGAAGAAACTGACAGCTTGCAAACGACTTTTTTCCTCTGTGACGCAGCAGAAATTAGACCTTGTACAATGTTAGTTTCACTTTTACTGTGCACACAATTTGTCTAGGCAGTACTAACAATCTTTAACCACAATTTTCTTATCTCACATAAACAGTTCTAACGAATTCTAAACACAATTTCCTTGTTTTAACTATGCTTAACAACTTTTTAAAACTATTTCAAATTGTTGATTTCAAGTTTCCTTGCTCAATTAACACTCATCCCATCCTCGTCACCAAAATGTTGTGCCTAATCATTAAATTCACGAAGCACCAATATCCAATTACCTAATAAGGTTTATAGCGATATTGGCGGGCACACAACCCAGTTCGAGATGAGTGTCTTGGGCTATAGGAAAAAGAAACCACATAGAGAACAAGTTGCAGATAAGAATTCACACCACACTTTATTGTCCACAAGGGGACCCAATACAGAGTAAGCTTAACTCTCCTTAAGTAGTTGCATGCATTCACTTCAAAACAACTTAGTATCTAGATATATCAGCTTAAGTATACATCACCGCTAGAGGGGCTTGTGTCCTCTGCACTTGACTGGGGAGAACTCTGGCAGTCGGCTTGGAGGGACCCTCTCTGGGAACAGCAGAGACCAGCAACACGCGTCCGCATTACAGGTGGGTAGTTCTCCAAGTGAGTGCCAAGTTTCTCGGTCTCTTATACTTTATATCAAGTTTGTAACTTTTCCAAGATTTCTTATCAGTGCAGCCCAGCATGTATCTTGTCATGCGCATTAAGAACACATTCGTTGGCACCAATTCCCTCTTTTCAGCACGTGGGCCTTTTTGAATATTGGCCAGACATTCTATGGAATATTCTAGGCAATGTTGAATTTCTTAGTGCGACACAGGTCAAGTGTTTTATGCAATGTCATCGTAGCTGAATTTCTTAGTGCGACACAGGTTGAATTTCTTAGTGCGACACAGTTTAAGCCAAGTGCCATCTTAACTATCTATAATAATATATTAATTTGCTCATTAGTGATCAATCAATCATTGTTAATTAGTTAATTGGATTTTATCACAATTATCACATGGGTGGGGGCCATAAAGATAATGAGGAGGGACCTACAGTCCTCCCTCCCGGCCCCCACCCTGAACGGTGGGTGGGGGCCATAAATTACAATGGGGGGGACCTACTGTCCTCCCCCCAGCCCCCACCCCTGCACCGTGGGTGGGGGCCATAAATTACAATGGGGTACCTACTGTCCTCCCCCCCCATTCCCCACCCTTGAGCGGTGGGTGGGAGTCATAAAGATAATGAGGGGGGGACCTACAGTGCTTTCCTACCTGGCCCCACCCCTGGGTGGTGGCCATAAAGATAATGAAGGGGGGTCCTACTGTCCTTCCCCCCAGCCCCTACCCCTGCCTGGTGGGTGGGAGCCATAAATTACAATGGGGGGAACCTACTGTCCTCCCCCCCAGATCCCCACCCTTGAGCGGTGGGTGGTGGCCCTAAGACAAATCCCCCCCATCATAGGTGACTAGGGGTCCCCAAGCTCCCACCCCAAAAAAAGTTACCCCCTACCTACTGAAATCCATCCAATCAGAGTGCTTTGTGTCATTTTACACAGCGTGGGAAAGTTCTTTGACATTTTCCCACGCTGTGTAAAATGACCAAGAGCACTCTGATTGGTTAGATTCTGACGAATGAATGGATGAAATTCCCGTTCGCATGTTCAAGTGTTTAACTGGGCATGTGCGGGAATCTCAGTGCTATCTAGTGTGGGCAGATGACGTGTCCCACAGGGACTTCATCTACCCACACAAAGATGGCGGCGCCCTGAATATAGATTGGGACAGAAAATAAAGAATAAAAAATAGGTAATATGGGTAATAGGTAATATGGGGGGATTAGGGGCATTTTGGAGTGACTAGGGGGTCAGTTAATGTAGTGGAGTCGGGAGGGCCATGGCAGTGCCGCTTTAAATGTAATATTCCCTTTGAATTCTCACTTTAGTGAATAACTATATATATATATATATATATAAAATCTAACTACTTTTATATACTAAAGCTCACACTCAAACTATATTTCTAAGTATATTTTAAAGGACCACTCTAGGCACCCAGACCACTTCAGCTTAATGAAGTGGTCTGGGTGCCAGGTCCAGCTAGGCTTAACCCATTCTTTTATAAACATAGCAGTTTCAGAGATGTTTATGAATGGGTTAAGCCTTCCCCCAATTCCTCTAGCGGCTGTCTCATTGAAAATCACAGTGAGAGCACGCAAGCGTCCATAGGAAAGCATTGATAATGCTTTCCTATGTGACCGGCTGAATGCGCGCGCAGCTCTTGCCGCGTGCGCATTCAGCCGCATGGGAGGAGAAGAGGAGGATCGGAGGAGGAGAGCTCCCCGCCCAGCGCTGGAAAAAGGTAAGTTTTTACCCCTTTCCCCCTTCCAGAGCCGGGCGGGAGGGGGACCCTGAGGGTGGGGGCACCCTCAGGGCGCTGTAGTGCCAGGAAAACGAGTATGTTTTCCTGGCACTATAGCTGTCCTTTAATATTATATATAAATATCAAAATACATTTTGAATGACGTTAATGATATATTTGTGTATATAGATAGTGTTTAAGTAGAGATTGTAGCCATATTAGACAAGTGATGTAGATGTAAAAAACAGATAAACTTTGTATTTTGTAATACCTTTTTATTAGACAAACAGAATTTTGTTAATGACAAGCTTTCGGGAGAACCTCCCTTTCTCAAGTCTGAAGCATTTCTGAGCAAGACGACACATAGAATTCAAAGTTGAGTGGTGATACAGCGGTTAAAGCGACATGAGTGTAGATAAGACACAGGTTTGTTAGAAAATAGACACCATTCTTGCAGAGGGTCATAAATATCTTTCTGAAGATCAGAGTGAGGGGGGAGAGGGAGAAAAAATAACCAAGCAGACAGTGCCGAAGATGGTACACTTTATACATACACACATAAATATAGTGGAAAATGTATTCATACTTACCGTAATTTTATTTTCCTGGATATTATTCATGGCACCATATACACATGGGTTAGCTCCTCCCCTTACAGCCAATAGGACAGGAATAAAACAAAACCTTTAAAAGTCGTATCCCTGTAGTATATGCTGCCATGAATAATAGCCAGGAAAATAAAATTACAGTAAGTATGAATACATTTTCCTCTTTCCTAGCTAATTATGGCAGCATATACACATGGGAATACACAAGCTAACCATCAAGGGACAGAAATGTAAATAAATGCCAATCAGATAATCATAACAATTCAACATAGGTTAGAAGATTGAACGGAGTTAAGGACGTGACGTCCAAATTGCACTTCATTAATTGCTTCAATGTCCAATATGTAATGCAGGACAACCAAGTTCAAAGAGGTCCAAATGCCAACTTTACAAAGTTTCAGCAGAGACCATTGCCATGGAAGCCCACAATGTTGCAACTGCACTAGTGGAGAGTGCCCCAAAATCCTTTG